TAGGGTTTAGGGTTTAGGCTTGCAGCGTAGAAGGCTCTCCACAAGAAAACCAAGAAGGAACGGGAAGGATTCGCGGTTTCAGGTTGAGGCTTGCCCCTTTGTGTGGGCAGCCAGCAACACTGTATACAAACCTCAGATACCAACCTGGAGGCCTTGACAACTGCTATCAACATCCCTTCACATTTCCTGTCTAACTACAAAGAGCCACCCTACAGTTACACCCTAAACCCTAAATCCTAAACCCACTAACACCCCATACTGCACCTGGAGTCCCATGCCAGCAGAACGAGTTTGGTAAGTTGCACGATTCCGGCCACCCGGATCAAACTAGTGATCCGACAACTTGAACCCTATAGGTGTAATCGCTACTCTACTCTCTGATGCGCGTCATGGGTTTTGCATGACCAGGAAAAGTGTCTGCGACTTTACCCAACAGAAACCCTAAACCCTAAACCCCAAGAGCTGCCAAGTCGGGACACTCACAAACACTCTGAGGTCTCTGCATCCGTAATGGGCCGCCTGCGGGGCTTGGGAGTTTTGCTTGCAGGTTTCTTCCCCAAAGCTTTTGGGTGTTCGATCTTAAACCTCAAACCCTAAACCCCTAAACCCAAAGCCCAAAGCCCTAGACCCTAAACCCTTTTGGGTGCCCGATCTTTGGGGCTTCACTGTCTTAGGTGTTCATGGCATAGGCCTGGGCGTACGCTTTACGTCAGGTCGCCGAGTGGCTCAAGGCTGGGGTCTGTTGCTGGACATGGAGTAGTGTTCGATGTTTGGGGTGCAGGGTGCTGTCTTGCTTCTTGTTTAAGGCTCTTTTCCATCTGCATTGAATTGGGCTTTGGGTTCAGGGTTCAAGAGACAGAGAAAGACAAGAGAGCGAGAGAGAGAAAGAGAAGACAGAGAGAGGGAGGCAATGATCATTTACGGCCACCGGATACACTACAACCCGCGATAGCCACGCATAGTTCGAATTCAGAGAAACCACAAACCTCAAGAACCGAACTTGAAAACCTGAGCCCTCAACCCCCCCATCCTCAACCCTAAAACCTAAACCCTAACCCGAAACCCTCTGAACCCCAATCCTCGACCCTAAACCCTAAACCCCCATCCTCAACTCTAAACCCTGACCCCTACACCCGGCCTAAACCCTAAACCCGAATCCTCAGCTCTAAACCCTAAACTCCCATCCTCAACTCTAAACCCTAAACCCTACACCCGGCCTAAACCCTAAACCCTGAACCCCATCCTCAACCCTAAACCCTAGACCCCGATCCTCACCTCTAAATCCTACACCCTAACCCGAAACCCTAAACCCGAATCCTCAGCTCTAAACCCCTGGAGCCAGATCCCTGGAGCCCTCAAACCTGCTGGCTGCAGGTAAGGCACAGATAGTCCATCGAAGGGCTGAGTTGGGCACTGGCCTCCTGCAAGGCGGTTTAGGGTTTAGGGTTTAGGCTTTAGGGTTTAGGGTTTGGGGTTTAGGGTTTAGGGTTTAAGGTTTTGGTGATCTACCGGGCTCTCTGTTGTCAGGGACTTGAGTTTAAGTTACCATAATCAGGACATACTCTTATTTACTATAGATCCCTATTGTTAGTTTAAGTTACCATAACCAGAAAGTCCTATTATTCACTATAGATCCCTATTGTTAGTTTAAGTTACCATAACCAGAAAGTCCTATGATTTACTATAGATCCCTATAATGGTAGCACAAATTAGGACGAACACAGTCTAGAGCAGGAGCCTGCTTACGACATCCCCGGTTCCAAGCCCTGGGATCAAGTCGGATTCACACAGTATATCGTATATCTCTATCTATATATATATATATATATAAATGTATACCTATATGGCTATATCTATCAAAAAAGCTACTGAGAACCAGGGGTCGGCTCAGGGGTGTAAGCTGTAGGGTTTTGGTTTTGGGGGTTTAGGGTTTAGGGTTTAGGGTTTAGGGTTTAGGGTTTAGGGTTTAGGGTTTAGGGGTTTTGGGGGTTTAGGGCTTCGAGAGAGATTGCGGCTGCGGGATTTTGGGGGTTTGGACTTTGGGGTTTCGAGATGATTCAAGGCCTGGCGTTTGGGGCTAAGCCGTGTGTAAAGGCTTCGGGCGGCAGCTAACTGCCTTCCGGTCCCATGTAGTCCTAACCCCACAGGTACCTACTATATAGGGTACTACAGCCCTTGGGGCCCTATACAGTAGGCACCTGGAGGGTTAGGGTAGTGCTTTGCAGTGTGTGTGAAACCGACAAGGCCGATGAACAGAAGTGTCGCCTCCCTCTCTCTCTACGGCTTTGAGCTTAGGGTTTAGGGTTTAGAGTTTAGGGTTTAGGGTTTAGGGTTTTAGGGTTTGGTTTAGGGTTTAGGGTTTAGGGTTTAGGGCAACCACAGCAGACACAAGCAGTCACACGCTAGGGAGAGCTGCCGTGAGGGTTGGTTTCTGTGCGCAAGCAAGGTTCACGGAGACTGATGTCAGGCTTCGAACAGTTCAGCTTGGGTTGCGAAGTGCCCACTGCTTGGAGTTAGGGAGGCTACTGTACCCCAAATTACGAAACCCTAATATCCTAAACCCTAATACCCTAAGCCCTAATACCCTAAACCCTAATACCCTACTCTAATCCCCTGAACCCTAAAACCCTAAACCCTAAAACCCTAAACCCTCCGGGACCCTAAACCTTGGTTTGGCTAGATGATACCGAACCCCGGGATTCGGTGACTTAACTCTCACAACCTTCGACGCCCTATCGAAACCACGACAACTCGGATACATATAAAGGGAACCATCCATCCCCCTAATATGCGTCAGTTCTTCGTTTGCCTGTCGGAAATCAAACCGCTTTCGCACATTCCAGAAAAGTACGTGTTCGGCACGCACCCTTTGCTTCTGCGCACTTTGGCAGCGCCGTGTCATGAACATCGGCACCAGCTGATATTGCTCTTACAAGAAGTGCCAATGGGAAATAATGCCGAAGAAAACCAATCATCATCATCATCATCACGATTACTCCGAATCCCTGTCTGACCGCTTAAAAGCTTCTCAAACGCACTCTTTTTTGAAAGACTTGAGTATTCGGAACCGGCTCCTCGTCCTGCTCCGCAGCAGGCGTGTTCCTGCTGCTGGCCGAAAGCCCTACTTGGAGGATCATGGGACTTAGTAAGTAAGGTTACAAGTCCTCTAATTGGGGTTATAAGTATAGTTACCCTAATTATAACCCTACTTACTAAGTCCCATGATTCTTTAAGTAGGACCTAGGGTTAGGGTTGCCTTGCTTGGGTTGGAGGTGAATGTTGTTCAACAGCTTGCATCCAAGCCGCTCGCTGTCTTCCTCAAACCCAGAACCAGCTGGATAGATTGGTATGATAGAACGTGGCTTGTTGCTCATCATGGACAGCACAGATCGGCAACGACGGAACTCAAAATGACAGGTTTGTTTCCATGCATCCGAAGGTATTGCTCAAGTGGGAGCTAGGATTAGGGGGACCCTTGGGGATATAGACCCTCTCAATAAGGTCCCTTTTAAGAGAGCCACAAGTAGGGTTCAGAAGAGGTACCCTTTAAGGGGTACCCCTAATAATACTACCTATCAAGCAATCTTTAGGCTGTCAGTGCTTGCGATCAGCTTCACAGAGCCACCAACCTGGAGGCAGTCTCCTGGACTCTGTGCCCCACAACCCCAAGTCTCAACTACTTGGAGGATCATGGGAC